AAGAGACTCCTCAGAATGCTCACTTAAATTTTCTCTATAATTGATATGCTGTTTTTGTTATAGACATAAAAAAGACAAAAAACTATAAAGAATATCTGGGCTAGTATTTTCTTTCATACTTTTTTTTGGCATGACTGATTTAAATGACAGAGAATTCTAAAGCTAACACTAAGCTGCTATCCTAGGACATTAGTGAGAATGGTATGGCCAAAATACAGTGATTATTCCTCAGGCTTGTAAGGAACCCAGCATCCCAGCCAGTGCTAGAAATAACTTACAATTCTTACATGGTTAGAAGTATAGCCTGCTTCACAATAATTTCACATTCAACATCAGATTTTTTCAGTTTATCGGGCAAGCTTTCAGTTACTAAATAGTAACTTTGTTTTTAACGGATCTTTCAGAGGCCTAGCATAAAGCTGAACCTTACTTGTTTGGTGTCTGCACTCTTCTTTTTAAACCATTTAATAAGAAAACCTTGACTTATACTTTCAATCAAAGTGCTTTGTCATTCAAAGTAAAACCAAATCATTAGCAAGGATCTCTGGAGGAATTGACTACCAACTTATATAGTTCACAGGTATATGTGATCCCTGAGGCAAGTCAGAATTTCTCCTGCTTCTGCTGAGAAGAAGTTTTGCAAATGATAACAGACAACTCAGGAAGATCTTGACTACCCTGAGTAATAACCTCCAAGCCCCCACAGAATACATTAATTTTCCACCCCAACTGCCTCCCTATACACTTCAAGGACAACAGCTGGATTATTACTAACTATGGAATTTCCAAGTTTGCCAGAATTCTGTTTGTAACCATTATGGGATTAGCAGTAGGAGAGAGGCCTTGATCACTAGAATAGCTGAGGCTATCACACAGCTACACTCCTATGTGAAAGAACACACTGATACAGGTTAAAAGAAGTCACATTTTACTTCCATGTAGTCCCTAAACAGACAGTTCCTTTTCCCTTGCTATTCTAGGGAGTCCTGTCCTCTAAATATAAAAAACACTGTATACATAGGCACAGACATACTCACATACAGCCTAGCTTGCTTACTTACAGGAACTATCCAGGTAGCTATATTCAGTCCTGACAGAATCCATTTTGGATTTATAAACAGGCACCTGCCTGGCACATTTCTATCCACCTGGATTTCAATCTATTTTTCCAGGAAGAATAAACTACACTAGATTCCTCCCACTGTTAGCCATGTGATAAAGATAGCCATGTCTGCTGAAGTCTGTTTACATAGGCCAAAATAAGATATGACAATGACACAGCACTTACATTTCTGATACAACTATCCTTAACAGTGATCTCAATTTTAAAGAATGAATCTTAAAAATATTCTTAATAATAATGGGCTATGCTTGTAGCTCAGTGGGTAAAGCACTGGCCACATACACTGAGGCTGGAGGGTTCAAACCCGGCCCAGGCCAGCTAAAACAACAACAACTGCAACAACAACAACAAAAATAATCTGAGCATTATGACGGGTGCCACAAAATATAAATATATACTGACACAATTTGAGCTTGCTATAGCAAGAAAGTCTAACCTATTCCGGAGTTCTCTCTTTGTGGGATAAGCCGTTATATAGACTTTAACAGTGGAAAAATTTTTTTAATTGAGACAGTCTTACTATGTCCCCTTTGGTAGAGTGCTGTAGTGTCAGAGCTCACAGTAACCGCAAAACTCTTGGGCTTAAGCGATTCTGTTGCCTCAGCCTCCCGAGTAGCTAGGACTATAGGCACCTGCCACAAGGCCTGGCTATTTTTTGTTGCAATTGTCATTGTTGTTTGGCAGGCCTGGGATGGATTCGAACGCGCCAGCTCCAGTGTATGTGGCTGGCGCCCTAGCCACTGAACTACACACACTGAGCCATTATTTTTCTTTTTCTTTTTAGACAGAGTCTCACTCCACGCCCTGAGTTGAGTGCCATGGGATCATAGCTCCCAGCAAGTAGCTGGGACTACAGGTCCTTGCCACTATACCTAGCTAGTTTACCTATTTTTAGTAGAGACAGGATCTCATCCTTGCTCAGGCTAGTCTCAAACTCCTAAGTTTAAGCAATATGCCCGCTCCAGCCTCCCAGAGGGCTAGAATTACATGTGTGAGCCAATTCAAAAATTATTTTTATTCACTTATGGTATCTAAATGCTTTTTTAAGGACACCAATTCAAGCCAATGGTGACTCATGCCTATAATCCTAGTATTCTGGGAGGCTAAGGTAAGAGGATCCCTGAACCCAGGAGTTTGAGACTGTCGTGAGTTAGGCTGATGCCCCGGCAC